AAAAAATATATATATTACACCTACATGCATGTTAACAAGGATGAAGAAAGTGAGGCAGGGAGAAACCGGATAACTCCAACGGACAGAAGTAAGAAAACTGAGCTATTGATAAGAAATAACACTTCTGCCCCAACTTGGTGTCACAGTAAATAGCGAACTGAGCTGCAGTGCTGGAAGGTTCATGGCTGACTGCAGGTTCAGGTCTAAGGAGGCCTGAGGACATGCCGCGCATGTGCAGGCATAACTCAGAGCCTAAGGAGCTAGAGGACTGCAGGAAGGGGACTGCAGTGTGATGAGATGTGGTCAGAGGTGCTCTCTCTATTTTTTCTCTTTCTTTCTCCCTTCCTCTCTTCCTTTTCCTCTCATGCATGCGCAGGTAGTCTTTGTCATGAATTAAATAAATAAACTTAAAAATAATTATACAAAGAAAACAAAAGACAGGAAATGATACCTTCAAGAGATTTTCTTCTTAAAGAATACTGAGAGCTTCCATCCTTTCCCCCCAAGGACTCAGGTACTAAAAGAATAACAAGAATAAAAACCCAATGGGTAAAACTCTCATTGGATAAAGTAATTTTTAATGTCACACCACAGTAGAAGGGTGCACGGATACAATCATAAAGGCTCTGTTATTGATAAAAATTTTGCAAAAAAAATTTTTAAAAAGGGCCAGCTGGCGTGCAGTGGTTAAGGCTGCTGATTTCACTTGGCCAACTGTGTGATTTGATCATTTTCTACCCCTTTCTCTCCATTGAGTGAATGTGCGCTCTAAAAAACTTAGAAAAAAAAAAGGCATGAAATATTGAAAATGAAAAGAACCTCAAAGATTATCCTGTCTAACCATCCAATTTTACAAAGGAAAGAAGAACTGATCACACATTATTTGTCTTGCAAAATTGTTTTTTGGGTTTTTTGGAGAGATTTTTGCTATAGGGTGCGCACACTCGCCAGACAGACAGACAGCGACATAGAGACAGAAAGTGAGAAATCACCCCCCAGGGGGGATGGTCACACCACAATTCCTTCTCCTCCATTCTCCTCTAGGGATCTTGGGCACGCATGCACACGCGCCCGGCGTGAGTTTTAAGCCACCAGGTCCAGGACGCGAACTGCTGTTGACTACATGGGAGTCCAGTGACATAGCCATTACTCTAACTGCTGGTCCCTGCAAAATGTTTTATTATATTATTTCTTTATGTCTCAAATACTCCTAGCATTTAAAATGTCATTTGAGACCAGCTGCTGATGTGGTGATCAAGGCACTGGACCCACATGGCTGAAAGAGTGGTTTGAGTCCCTAATCTAGGGTCTGAAAAACATGCCTGGCCCATGTGCAAATGACCCGAAAATCCCAAAAGGAGAGAGAAATGGAAAAGGGATTTCTACATGACCATCTTTCATAGTGTGTGCTTTCCCACTTTCTCTCTCCCTGGCAAGCACACATGTTCTATGGAAAAAACTGTATTAAAAAAAAAGTAATTTGATTTACCAAAACTTATATTATTCCTATAAACTTTTCTTACCATAAGAAAAAATATCAATATTTTAAATACACTGTATTTTCATTTAATAAGGCCCAGTCTTCTTCAGTTTTGAGTGCTGACATCTACAATGGAGCTATCTTGCTGAAAATATAACTTAGATTAATGTAGATTTAATAACTGAACTTGGAATTGTGTTCTGCTTTAGAGCATTCACCTCAAGGGTTTTCTTCTAAAATAACGGGGATTAAATCAAGGAATCTTAAAGGAGATGTTCTAGAACAGTCAGGATGCTCTGGAGGCTGGAGAGCAAAGGTAAAACCTGCAGATGAGATTCAGGTCTAACACTCAGTAGAAAGGTGTTTCCCCTTTCATCATGGAGGTAGTCATCAGAAGCTACCTCTGAAAATACTAGCCTTCCTGTTATGACAAACCTCTAGAAACCCTCACGCTTCACTCAAGTCTGACAAACATGTATTAACTGAATAACAGTGTTAGAGAAAAATGAAGGAGGAGGTAGCACAAGAAAGTGTGGACCACTTCCTTTTACCTCTGTTGGGCTCTGCTCCATTGTCTTTGGATGACAATGACATGGCAGCTGAGCCACAGAGGTGACTCGCTGGCACAGCAGAGGAATGGCTTCAGTGTGAATAACTCCCAAGTGAACACAAGACCTCTTCTCTCCTGATTAACCCAGAAGCAAAGTGGCCCATGGAAGTTTAGGGGTGGGAGTGGCAGGAGAATTGGAAGGAATGGGGTAGGAATATGGTAATAGATGACATAAAGTTTTGTCCTGTCTGTGCATAAACATATTAGCAGAATTCTAAAATACGTGACAATATGTTCAAGTATAATAAACAACTATAAAAATTCTGTATCTTTTCTTTATGAGAAAAATCAAAGGTAAGCATACTTGAGGTGCATTCAGAAGGAAAATAGCCATATCTCAGAGCACACATTATCCTAATGCCATTGGTCCCCACGAGATGAGTTTGCTGTATGATTCAGCAAGTCGGGGGAGGCCTGCAGAGTTGTTGTCTCCTTTTAAAAAAATTAATAACTTTATATTCTATGGGGTTTAACAGCTTAAATGCTCTCTCTCTCACACACACATACTGACTTCTATAAATCAACTCAACCTCTGATAAAATCAACAAAGTTCAAAACTGTTTATAAAATATTAAAATAGGGGCCAGTATGTGACATGGTGGTTAAAGGTGTTGAACTCCCACATGGCCAACCATGGTTCAAGTCCCACACCTGGCAGCTTGTTTTCTCACTTTCTCTCTTTCTCTTGCCTCTCTCACTCTGTCCCTCTCTCGTTTAAATAAATAAATAAAGTTAAATAAAATAATTCTTTCAAAAAAGAAGAAAAAAATAAGAAACATTTTTTAAAAACATATTAAAAATATAATTTGGGGCTTTATTGCTTTTACTTCCATGTCAATACTTAAGTACAAAACATTAGATTTTGGTTATTTCAGATTCATTTTATTTCAAGACTGTTAGGTTCATAATTTTGTAAATTACAGGCTGAGAATCCTAACCCAAAAATCTGAAATTTGAAATGTTCAAATCTGGGGACCAGCAGTTGGTGTCCCATCTCCAAAATAGGTCATTATGTGTATGTGACTACTACAAAATCCAAAGCCAAAATCTAAATCCAAAACACTTCTGTCCCAAGCATTTGGATAGGGAATACTCCACCTGTATTTTCCCAAAGAAAGATGCAACACTAGATAAAGCAAAGTCACAGAGCCAGCTTGGAACATGGAGATAATTATTATAATAAAAGAAATTCAATCATTACCCAGCTTTTCCCCTGTAGGTCCATCAAATAGACTTCACAGAAAAAGAGATGATAGTCCTTACCGAACCACAATTCGTAAATGAGTAGTAAGTAAATTTAAAGCCAGGAAGATATACTTACTTGCTTATTTATAGCATTTGTTTTATTGCCAGGGGAAATCAAATGATCCTAAGCACTGTTGTATCTTTTCATGAAAGTCCTGCACTGTAACTGCAGGGGGCTACCATATAACATCATTCAGAAAGCAATATCAAGGAAATTTTGAAATGAAATTACTAGAGTGTTAATTTGATTTAGCCATTAGCTTGGGAGGAGAAGGGGTAGGAGTTGGATTAATGCAATGAAAATTACAATAAAGTAAGTAAGTTAAAATTGCTCATAATTTCTTTCAGTGTCAACTTCAAAATTATCTTAAAAAGGAAAACTAGTGGGGTAAAACAGGATAATGATCATAGACGAGAAGTGGCCAGTTATGAAGATCATGACATATAATTTCTCATGATGTCCATAAAAACATGGAGAATTTTAAAGTGATTCATGGTAACATAACTGAACAAATTTTCAGCAATCTGTCTGAGGGTTTTATAAGAAGAAACACTTGACCAAGAGGAAAAAATAAAAGAGTGAATGGGTGGATAGGAATAGAATCATATTCAGACAATCACAACCACCAGAAAGTTGGCTTGCATCAAATTAATTGGGCACCCAGGAGGTAGGAGGTCATATGCCGAGAACTCTGAACAATTCCACACACTGATGATCTGTTCCAGATCATCTCAGTGTGGTCAATAAAATTCACTGCTGGTAAATGTGGAAACAAAGAACTGGCTTAAATACTCTAGGAATGTTTATCTACATTCAAAACAAAATCATGAAAGATGAACATGAAAAATTGTTCTATTGGTGACCAGCAGTTAGTGTAATGGCTACGTCATTGAACTCCCATGTAGCTGACCACGATTTGAGTCTCGGACCCGGTGGCTTAAACTCACGCCGGGTGCGTGTGCGTGCATGCCCAAGATCCTGAGAGGAGAATGGAGGAGAAGGGATTGCAGCATGGCCATCCCCCCTGGGAGGTGATTTCTCGCTTTCTATCTCCCTGTCTCTCTCTGTCTTTCCAGCGAGTACACGCGCCCTATAGCAAAAACCTCTTCAAAAAAAAAAAAGTTGTTCTATTACATGGATTTTTCTAGGCCTTAGGGAGACGATGGTCTAATTATAATCCATTGCTGAAGTGCATTATTCTTTCTAGAGGAAACAAATAAACAAAAATAATGACCAAGTTGCTAATTATTTATATCCACAAAAACAGAGTAGCTCATAAAGCCAGTATGTCAAGCAAATATTCTCCCAAGAAAGAATGGTTAACCATGGCCATAAACAACTATGAATATCTTTATTGCTATATGATTATTACAGAGAAAATGAAATTCAAGAATTAGATAGTCACTTGTACTATGAGTTGTTTGAGCCATTATTATTGATGAATTTAAGAATCTTATTTTACTAAAAGATGTCTTTTATGGGGCCAGCAGGATGGCATGTTGGTTAAAGGCACTGGACTCCCACATGGCCAACTATAGTTCCTGTCCCAAATCTGGCAACTTGAAAATTATGCCGAGTGCATGTGTACGTGTGCCCAAAATCCCAGAAGAAGAATGGAGGGAAAAAGATTGCAGCATGACCATTATCCCTGGGAGTTGATTTCTGACTTTCCCTCTCACTGTCTCTCTGTCTCTCTCTGGCAAGTGCACATGTCCTACATTAAGAGTCAAGCATGGAGGTAAATAATATTTACAGAATGTGGTGAGTGTTGTAACAGAATAACTTCAAACTGTGAGACCTATTAGAGATGGCTCAAGTATCATTGGGAATAATGAAGGAGTTATGAGGTGGGCACTACACATAATAAAAGGTGTAACTCGAGAAGTAGAGTGAGAACACAAGAGTGCCCAAGTAGAAGGAATAACAAACAGAATGTGAATGATGAACAGATTTCAGGAAGTGGCAGGAACAAAGCAGCAGATGAGCATTACAGATACAAGCTAGGGCTAGATTACAGAGGACATAATACGTCTTGTAAGGACTTTGACTTTACATGAAGAGTTTGTGGATGAACTTGATCCAGGCACTGGAGTATATTCCTTTAATAAGGTACTCCTAGCAGCAGACTGGAGTAGATGTGACAGATACTCATAGAAAAAAGAAACCACCAAAACAGTCAAT